TAAAGAAAATTAAAAGACTCAGCCTCTTTAGGAAGTTTGCTAAAATGGGGAGGTTATGTTTAATTTATTTATATCTTCATTAATCCAAGCATCTAATGAACAAAAAACTGCTACAGTGATGTCATAATTCTATAAGGGCAATAGTTGCCAAATTTCCTCTGGTATAATTAGCATTTTTCTTTTGCATAGATTAGCCTTCAAATTTATTATTTTTAGTATTATTTGATATGATTGAAGTGGCTAAGATTGATTGAGCTTTTCTTGATCACATTTTCTGCTTCTTAGCTAAAGTAATTTTATTTAAATTGACATGGCTTGAATTGTCATCATTTTCTGCTCTTCCAGAATGATGTGCAGAGAAAACTTGAAGACAGTATCTCTTCTTTGGCATTCTTCTCTTAATGCTATGCTATTATTTATCATAATATGCATATATTTAGTTGTATCTGTTATCATTCTGACACTCATAACTACCATTTTAAGTCCAACTTTATATTTGTTACAATGCAGTGTTTTGGGAAAGGTCTATTAGTAATTATTTAAGTATTACATATTTTTATGGAAGTCTTTAGAAGGTGAATATCTTACTGAAAAACTGTTTTCTAAATGAATTTAATTTTGTTTTGTATTTGTATCAGATCATGCCTACTGTATGTTAGATTTTAGACTGTTTTAAAAGAAACCCTAGATTATATAAAAGTTTTTTTGCTGTTTTTAAATGGCATTTGTTTTATGTTTAATTTCACAGGATGATTTTGATAGACAAATTTTCTAGAAGACCTTTTTTGAAAGGTAATGGTTCTATAAGTTCCATTCCAACAGTAGTTTATTTCTGTGTTTCAGTCCTACAGAAATTGTGCGAGTGAGTAGTTGAAATAATGTACATGTACCAGTTTTTTTAAGTATTCTAAATAGTTCTAACATTTAATGCATATCAGAAACATGTTTAAGAAATACCAGTATCCAGGTCCACCCCACTTATTGAATCAGACAGTTCCCGGGGCATATATATGCTGGAGAAGCCCCATAGGTGATTTTAATGTATACCAAACATGTAGAGTCTCACTCTGTTGCCCAGGCTGGAGTGCAGTGGTGTGATCTCAGCTGACTGTAGCCTCTGCCTCCTGGGTTCAAGCAATTCTGCCTCAGCCTCCTGAGTAGCTGGTACTACAGGCACGTGCCACCACACCTGGCTAATTTTTGTTAGAGATAGGGTTTCACTCTGTTGGCCAGGCTGGTCTCGAACTTCTGACCTCAGGTGATCTGCCCACTTCGGCCTCCCAAAGTGCTGGGATTATAGGCGTGAGCCACTGCGCCCAACCATGAACTACTATCTTAAACATTTCTTGATGTTCTACCTTTGGGAAGCAATTTAAAATGATGCTCTTGAATATAATTTTCAATATTTTACCTAGATATGAGTACCTAGAACTTTTTTTTTAATATATACTTTAAGTTCTAGGGTACATGTGCACAACGTGCAGGTTTGTTACATATGTATACCTGTGCCATGTTGCTGTGCTGCACCCATTAACTCATCATTTACATTAGGTATTCCTCCTAATGCTATCCCTCCCTCTTCCCCCCGAGTTCCTAGAACTTTAAATACCATCAAGTAAAATTCTTTAAATTCTACATTTTTACTTATTATTTATGGGCAATATTGATACGTAGTTATTACAGCATTAACTTTTTGAGATAATAATATAGTCTGCTCTTCTGTCCTCTGCAACTCGTGCTTCCGTTCATTCAAGAGGTTTGCTGTACAGAGACTCCTTGACTTATGGGTTTATCATAAGTCAAGGAGTATACTGAATATGTATTAGTTTCACACATTGTAAAGTCAAGAAATCATAAGTCGGGGACCATCTGTATTTGTTTAAGAAATTAGATAATTACCATGTAAATACAGTATTTAATTTCAAGAAAAATTTACTAAAATAAACACTATGGATGTGAACATCCACAAATTTGGATAACAGTATCTGGCCAGTGTTTCAAATGCTGGGAAAAAATTCAAATCAGAATGCATAAAGCTGCAAAGATGATAAACTACTCTTAAGTTTACAGTCAAATGGAGATGCCAAGCATAAATATAACTTGCAATAAGACAAGCCAGGATGTTGAGTATTATAGTAGGGGAAGGCAAGAAAGGAAATGCTAAGCAGTCATCAGGAGTAGAATGGACAGAGAAACGGCCATTGTTTACCTGGATAGGCAAACAAGGAGATGGCTGATGGAAGAATTTGCACATAGCTGATGAAGAGTGAACTAGGCAGAATGGAGAGAAAGTGTTAAATGGAGAGGAGATAGAAGTCAGAGGCATCTCCGGTACTACACCTACACCATCTTGAAATAGTCCTCTACCCATAGTCTGTGCTGAAGGAGTGAGATTAGATAGCCAGGTTTGTAACCCATGTTCTCACATGCCAACCACAGTTGCGTGCTGGAGGGCGGGGATTAGACAGCCACTTATGTAAAACATGATTCCATACTTGTGACCACAGCAACAAAACACTTCACCAGGGAAAAACAATTCATAGGCCAGACTGAGCTGTTAAGATTCTTTCTGACAAGTTTGAGCTATGAAATTCTGAAACAATCAGGTAATGATATACCTATAAATGAAAAGATCATTTCAGAACTGGCCTCGAAGTCAGTGAAGCAAGCTAAAGTCTAAAGGAAATGATGAGTAAGCAGAGAAACCTGATCTATAGAGCAAAACTAGGGAATGAAACAGGTTTGCTGAGCCAGGAGACTGCCCTAAAGAGATCAGAAGAGTGGCCTTACTTTCTGGCTTTGCAACCTACTGAGGTGATGCAGCCATGATTCATTTTCTGCCCCTGGATGCCATTGATTATGGCTGTTGTATCCTTATGTTAAATCCCCTTTTTCTTACACAGGCTGAGTCACTCTCTTTTCCTTGTAATCAGGCAGCCCCAAATTGGACACCTAAGCTTTGATCCTTGGTGATTGAGAAGATAGTGATACCACTGACATCAAGATAAGTCAAGGAGCATGTTTAGAGAAGGGAAGCAATTTTGATGTACTGAATTTGATTGGTGGTGAGATATGCATGAAATTTCTGGTAGTGGTTGGAAATGGGGCCTGAACCAGGACAAATTAAAGCTAGAGATACAGATCTTGCAGCTAATAAGTTATAGAAATGATTAAGGCAGCCCTGGGAGATGGTATCGGAGAAAAAAAGATGAGGACAGAATTTGGGGGAAAATTCATTTAAAGGATGAGCATAGATGGAAAAGAAGATGGAAAGTGATAACAGAAAGGAAGAAAACCAAGGTGGGACACATTTTTCAGAGGCAAAAGTGGCTTTGTAACAGTCACATGGTACAGAGAAGTAGGATGTAAATCTGAGACAACATTGGGTTGGATAATTGGAGCATGATGATCCTTTAGAAGGCAGGTACAGTATAACACTGGGAGCAGAAACCAGATGGATATGGTTGTAGTAGATATTAAGAAGACATAATAAATAAGTAATACTATAGAAAAGTTTGAAAAGGACAGCATTTAAGACAAATCATCGTTATTTTCCCAAATATGTGAAAAGCACATACTGCTTTATTTTTTGCTTTCAAATTTGAAACATTGTAAAATGATGAGTATAATATGATCTGCAACAGTGTAAGATGGAGCAGTCTTTGAGCTGGGTCTTAAAGGATGATTGCTAAGAGAAAAATGAAACAATACATACAATATGATTGCAGATTTGCTCTTTATAATTTAGATGTGCAGAGGAAATGAGAGTTTTCCTATGGAACTTATATGTCCTTCCTCTTGAGCCCATACCCAGTGGTGAGTCTGGAAAAAATTAACTTTTACTTTTAGCCAGTTTAAAACCTAGTCTGATATAAAGGGGATAGAATTTATAATATCTTAAGGGATTTACAGGTAATGCTTAATCTTTTGGAGAAATGCTGTTTTATTTCTGGCCTTTGTCTCGCTAAAATGGTGTCCAGACATATCTTACAAGACGGTGGCCATCAGGATAGACAGAGTCTTTCTTGAGCCCTTCCATTCTCTGGGCATTATACTGACCTCTGTTGTGGCAGGCAGCAGCTTATAAAATAAGACACCGAGTCTTTCCTAGTCTAGTCAGAGCCTAGTTGTCCTTTGCTGAACTGACTTCATCTCAGTTCTCTTGGATTTGGAAAACTCTCTGGGGCCCTGTCAACTGCAGCTCTGCCTCAGGCAGCAGTCTAGGTCAGATTATAGGTTTACCACCTGCACCCCACTGTGAGCTCAAGGTAAGCCTACTTGCTTTCCCTTCAGCCATCTTCTGAATCTCCCTTTGGGGGAATATGGGAACTTGTGGGTCCCTTCTGTAGCACACAGGAAGAGACCGTAGCCTGGGAAATCAAACTCTTTCCAGAATCTAGTAGACTGCCTAGTACCCAGCATGTGAGCAATACTACAAAGCAATGAAAAGTGAACAGACTACTGCTACATTAAACAACATAAATGAATCATACTAATATAATGTTGAACAAAAGAAGTCAGACACAAAAAGAGTGTATACTGTATGCTTCCATTTATATAAAGGTCAAGAACAGGCAAAACTACTCTTTGGTATTAGAAATCAGGATAGTGGTTATCTATGAGAGGAGGGTGGGAGAAGCTAGCAGCACTGACTTGGGAAAGGGGTATGTATATGTTTATATATATTTGCCTGTATTTATGAAATTGTTATTAATACCTGTCTGTAACACGTAAATAGGATAGGTAGAATACTTTTTCAACTTCTGAACTTTGAAACCCTTTGAAAGTCACTGGTAATTTGCTATCACAAACCTTTTTATTAATACTACTTAATAACTTTCAGTTAGATACCTATAATGACCTTTACTTGCATGCTATTTCACTACTTGGTTATATTTTCATTATAAAAAGAAATTTAGTCTAGTTCCTTGGCCTCTTTCTCCAGGGTTAAAACTTTAGTTTATATTGTAAAATTTCTTTTAAAAAATTACCCTACTCAGTTTTTCACAATAGACAGTTATACAAAGTTATTATCTTTTACACATTTGAAAAAAGTAACCTGTTTTAATTTATAAAAGAAAACAAATAGGCTATAGAATATTAACCTCTGTGAAATAATAAGACAAATGTATGAAAATTATTTTAGAGCTACTTTTTCATGGCTGCTGACCTACTGGAACAAGAGCAAAACCTGCATTAGATGAATGGTCATAAGATTCTCCAGAAGTTGATGTCCAATAATAATGCTTTTTAAGACCATTGGAGACTTCTGCAAGATATACGCGTCCATCTACCACAAATGGCTCCACATCTGTATTGTCTGGTTTTAGACGACCCATTTGAATTAAGTCCGAATATGCCTAGGATTTTTAAGAAAAGAAAAACTGTATCATTAAGAAAAAATGTATTCAATTTACAGTGCTTAAAGAAATTTAAATATTCAAATTAGCTGTGCTAATTTGTAGTTTAAAATAAAATATTCTGAATAACATTGCAGAATTTTAATATTTTCCAGGTATTGTAGGTAGATTTTTATTCATTTAATTACACAGAATGAAATTATAATGTTGCAAAACTTATTTCTAACTTTTAAGGTATTAGACATGTTTTGTCATTTTGTGACTCCTAGAGTTAATTTTCTGTACTACCAATTTTGTGGACCAAAGCTCTTACGGTCAAAATTTCCAAGTCCCACAGATGTTCATCAATTGGAATAGGTAGGGGGGCTGGGTAGGAGGGCTGTTGTATACATTCTCAAAAATCTGCTGATAGCTAGTTAGTTACCCATTCCTCAGAAAAATTAAGGGAATCCCAGATTTGGACATCCAATTATATGGAGTTCATGACCCCCCTGAATCTAATCTACAGATTTAGGCTAAGAGAGACAATTCCATAGAATTGGATGCTGACCTATTATTTCTTAATTGTAGAATT